ATAGGGGTTTTACTTGTTGAATGCTTATTTAATGTACTCTATATAATGCAACATTTAATGTTTCACATTTTTTGAAATAAATTATGTTTCAGGATGCATCTTTATTTCTCTTTCCTGAACACTGTCTGTAATATGCTGATTTGTGACATTCTCTAATTATACATGGAATCTATTAACTTAGCATTATAAATGAGTCTTCCAGACTCTCACTATCACATGGCCTTCCCTGAAACTGCAATGTGAAAAATCATGTCCTGTTCTGCCTACAGATTGCAATTCTGTCTCTTTGGTCAGGATGCCTACTGCTTCCTTCAGGGGAGAGAACTCATGTTCATTGACCTCCATCTTGACGGCACACACTTTACCAGTCTCCACCCTCCCAAAGGCAGGAAAAGTCTCACACCTAGCAGGTGATGCCCAGAGAGATGCAGCCTGGTCCTAGGCACCAAGCCCATACCACAGGATGTAGAAAATGCTATTGGGAAGGCCTTCAGATACTGTGGACTTACTAAATACCTTTAAAATTTGCTCCTAAAACTCTTCTCATGGACTCTCCTGTTTGTATAATTTCTACTAAATTCTGAAATATAGTTTAAATGGAATGTGTCTATGAAGAAACATAGAGCACTTTGTTTCACATTTTCTAATCTCTAAACACTTAACATGAAAGTCAGAGAGTGAAGTGTGAATACATCCATTACAGTAATGTTAATATCGGCTTTAGTAATCAAGTCAATATCACACAAGAGGTCAGGTATGAATGCATAGTGGGTAAGGGAAGCACAAAGTCATTGATATATTCTGCTACGTAATTCATAATTCTGAGAGTATCGGTTTTGTTGTGACTTCCCCTTGAACAAGTCCTGATGCTAATTCACCTTACTTCAAATGCTCCACACAAACTAAACATGTCTTTGAAAAAATATTGTACTGAATGAACATATCAATTTTTAGTTAACTCATTTTTGTAGAAACACTGAATTGAAATGTGAAAAAAAAATGTGCATTTGAGAATGAAGTCATTGGGGATTAGCTGAGTCTTTAGAAGAAATCCTAATAACAGATAAATCACACATGTACACATCAGGCACAGATACAACCAGTATTTTAAGTGGGAAAATATAGTAATTGGCTGTCGGAAGGAGGATGGAGATGACATTTCATTTTTAAATTCAAGGTTCAGAAGTGCGACGGGCTGGGATCCTCAGGCCCTGCAGAGGCACGGATGGGCTCTGCTCCTCAGCCCGGCTGTGTGGAGGATCCTTCCTCCTCGTCTTGCTCGTCCTCCACCTTCTGCATGGGTTTTCTCCTTCACAACCTCCTGACGTTGGTCAGCCGAGGCTGTGACACAGAGATGGGCTGAGAGCCCTCAACTTCCGGTCACTTCTTTCCTGTCTTCCCACATATGTCCAAAAAGCCATAGGATCCTAGTGACAATTCACAGGAACCTCGGAAATACTGTGTCCGCCTTAACTGAAAGCAGCTCCGAGTGAGTTGCTTTCCTCGGAGAGTGAAACTTAACTCAGCCTCTGGGAGCTCATTCAACCTTCTACTCTACTAGGTCTACATCGTAGAGTGCATATTTTGGTGAATTATCAACATTGATCTTTCACATACTTTTCAATTTGTGCTGGAAAATTCATAAAAAGCTGTGTTTAAAAGGATTCAAAAACAAATTTTAAGGACGTTCTTTATCCTAAATGCTAAATCCTCTAGCTCTGTAAAGAGCATATCTGTTCCATTCTGTGTGAACTTTAGCAACATCATTTTGTCTGGGTTATGTTTTCACTGGAAATTAGTGCTCTGCTTCACAGGGCAGATACTAGTGATGCACTTAGGAGACGTCTGTCACAGCATTTGCAAATGGCACGTGGCAAATATTTAGAAGGGTTAAAGGAGGATTGTATCACAGTTCTAATGTCCTGGCATCTAAAGAAAGATAACCAAGAGTTCCTTGGTGAGCTCCGTAGTAACGAGTAAAGGATTTTAAAGTATCCAGTAATGGAAATGCATGAAAGAGTAGTCAGAATTATGGCTTCATTACTGTAATTTTCCTTTGAATTTTAATAAATAACAAAGCTTGATTGTGTTGTGGAATAGAAATGTATGTAATGTACATAAGTTAAGTTTTACTCTAATTATAAATATCATTAGCACTTCATGGAAAGAAATATCAAGGGATTATTTATCTTTTCAAGAGACTTCATATGATATGTAAGTGTTTAAAAGTAAGTTAAATGCTGGGGGTGGTGGTGCACTCTTGTAGTCCTGGCACTCAGGAGGCTGAGGCAGGAGGATCACTGTGAGTTTGAGACCAGCCTGGGATACATAGTGAGTTCCAGGTCAGTCTCAACTACACAGTGAGACCCTGTCTTAACCTCCCCCCAAAAAATGTAAGTTTTTTTTTTAAATTGCCCCATTTATACCATGATGTACAGAGGAAAGCAGGGCATTTTAATGCTTCAGGTGACTATGTTCAAGGAGGTAAACTCTGATTGTGTGTGCATATTTTAATATCTCAAAAATAAATTGCAAATAAAAGGAGCTGGTGTCATAGTGAAAATATATACATATCTATGTGATATACATATTTTATATATATATAGTGTAAATATGTCTAGGTGAATATCCATAATATTAAGGAATGAATATATCATTTGTGATATTTGAAAGGAAACTCTCCAGTAAGGCTTATTGAAATAGAAATAGATTAAAATATGAATGAAATCACTATTTATGTCAATTGTAAAATTAGATATTAAATTGGATGGGACTTTTTTTTCGTACACTGCCTGAAGCTGCAGCAACTGTGAAATGCTGCACACTGTTAATGTTTGTCATGTATTGGAACAGTTTGCAAGTTGTTTGCCCTTGTTCCAATCAGCTCCTTTTCTTTCTTGGTAGATGGTTTTGAAATCTAAACTCAGTCAATTTAGAAGGGAACCAAATCTCTTCCCTATCATCAATATTCTACCAATCTCAAGTTTGTACCCTTCATTTTCCTAGAAGCCTTTTACATTCCTATGATTACCATAGACAGCCCTGCTAAATACATCAGACCTATGAATTCTTGACACATTTTGAGTATGGCTACTGGTACTTAGAGATAATTTTTGGTGGGTTTCAGAACCTCTATGGCATTTCATTTCTTACAAATGATTTCAAAATGGAGTGGCAGTGCTGCAATTCTTAACAATAGTTTTCACCTCTTCCAAGATTCTCCATATATTTTTTAACCTATTTCTATCATTGCATTGTTGTATTTGGTTACATGACCATTTTGCATCATGTCAACTTGTCAAGTGTGTGTTTACACTGCTCCTTTGTTCATTGTCTGAATTAAGTAGGTCTGCATTTCCTGTCTCTTGCTCCGTTTCAATGGCACAGAACTTTGGCTCACACGGCCAATGTCAAGGTCATTATCATCGTCATCAACCATGCATGAGTAATCTGATGATTTACTTTTGACCTCCTCCAACACTTGAAAATCTGGTTTTCATGTGCCATTTTACTGAACTGGGCTAACTGTATGAGAAAACTCATAACAAAACCTTTTTTAAAAGAAATCTTAAATGCATATAAATTTAGCAATGAGAATTCCATGGGAAAAAAAAAACTCACCTCTTGCTCTTTGGAGACCTTGTGCACAACTTGCCATCCGTCTGCCAAGTGGTTGAATGCATAGAAGAGTTTTTGCTTCTTGCAGGCAAAGCCACTGTGAGACACAGCCACATTCCATTATGGTAAAGTATACCTTTGCTTTATTGTGGGTTCATTTTTCTCCTTGTGATGCTCAATAAATCATATCCAAAACTGGTTAGATGCAGGAATACAAGGGTAAAAATCCTGGTTTGACCTGTTTTACACGTTACATAAGTTGGTGTTCATCATGGCAAGTGAGGACACAGAAAGATTGCTTCCTTTGTATCTCCAGGCACAGCTAGTAAGAATCACAGCAGGCTACTGTTCTGCTAAAGTACATATAGAGAGTAGAAAAGCATGGGAGTAGTTGCAGTGTGATGTTATTCTTCTTTATGCGTAGAACTAATAATTTTATCTTATCCCACAGGCTGTATGTGGAAATTTAAAGATAAGTGTACTTGTAAATAGTATCATAAAAGCTTTATTTCCTTTATTTAATATGATTTTATGATAGTAAAAATAAAAATATTTGACAGGGAATTTGTAAGTACATGATTAAATATATCTGCCTACATCTCAGTAAGAATACCTGGCTCTTATATTTTTTTCCAGTGACAGGGATCGAACGCAGGTCCTTGTGTTTGTGAGCCAGGCAAGGTGCCACTGAACTAAATCTCTGGCTTGACCTGGCTGTTTAATTAGTTCAAGTGGCAGTAAAATGTCCATATGACTGAAATACTGCACAAAAGCCATACGATATTATTAGAAAACTGCCTTTTATTTTCCTGGATAATTAAAGGTGAAGCTCAGAAGTTATTCTGATAAAAATCTAGGATTTCTGTGTATATTACAGAGGAGGACAGAAGTCTTTTACATTTTGGACACTAGTGATAAGCCAAAAGAAATCTATCTGTGTCCAGTAACTTCTCCAATACTTTTAACAGATCTCATAGTTTATTTCACATTCAGATTAAAAGCACTATCCTAGTTTAAGTTGAATTCAGAAATTCTGTGTTTGCTGAGTTACAGATGTGGAGGCATAGAGATACACCTGGGTGAGCCGCATTGTAGGCACCCTGGCCCCTGCTGAAAAGTGTTAGCCTGGGTGAACAGGGTCCCTCTGTCAGGGTGCAGTTTAGCTGTCCTTTTCTGGTGGCTGTGCCGGTGGATGTTCTGCCTCAGCACCTGCCAGTCTGATTTTTAAGAAACACATGCACATGCTTCACATTAGTGGTTCAGATGATTCTACATACACGGTCCACTGCGCTAACTCAATGTTGTTGTTTGGTTTAGGGGTGGCTACCTTTTTATTTGTTTTCTTTTTTTTTGGTAATGCATACCTAATTCAGGACCTTATGCTTGCCAGGCAGGCACAGCTTTACTGAGCTACGCTCCTCACCCTCACAATTGCATTTGTTTTAAACAAATAAAACACAGAAATGAGACAAAAATGATCCAAAATGAAATTTGACCATGTAAAATAGCCAACCTTTTCAGAAACCTTTTCCCACCAAGGGAGAGATACTTTGTAATGTCAGAGAGCCAGGTTACACCATGACCTACACATTGGCTTTGTGGGGTGCAGCTTCTAACCTCAGGAAGCTCTGGGGTGTTTGCTTCCTAGAGACAGAGACAGATAGTGCACCCCAGGATTCCCCAAAGTGAGAGGTTAGAAGACTCCATGAAACCCTGGAGGTCATGCGACCTGCTTACAGGAGGGAGTTTTAGGTGAAGGGCACAGGTGAGCAGGCAGGGCTGGCAGCAGCCTCCTCAGACCCCGTTTTATGTCACCATTCCGCAGGGTGTAGATGGCAGGATTCAGGATCGGAGGCAGCACAGTGTACATCACAGAAGGCAGCCTGTCAATAAGTGGGGGTGCATCTGCAGGTGGCCTCAGGTAAACCATGAATGCACTTAGCATAAAAATGTTGAAGACAATGAGATGAGGGAGGCAGGTAGAGAAAGCTTTAGACTGACTTTTCCTGGATGGAATCCTCAGCACAGCAGAGAGAATGTGAACATAGGAGAACACAATGCAGACACAACAAAACAGGCCCAGGCACACGGCTATTCCCATGCTGGGATAGACCACCAGGAGTGTTTCAGGGCAGGAAATCTTAAGTAAGGAGGGAACATTGCAAAAAAACTCTGGGATTACACTGGAGCCACAGAAGGGCCCAGAAAATATTCCAGCAGTGTACAAGGCTCCAAAGAGTCCCCCCACAGCCCAGGAAGCTCCTGCCATCAGCATACAGGACTGGCCACTCATGATGGTCTCATAGTGCAGGGGACAGCAGATGGCCACATAGCGGTCATAGGACATGGCAGTCAGGATAAATGTCTCACTTGCTGAGAAGGATGTTATTAAAAGGATCTGGAAGGCACAGCCAGGAAGGGAAATGGAGTTGCTGTGAGTCAGACTGTTGAGGATGAACTTTGGGACTGGCACAGACACCAGGGAGACATCCAGCAAGGACAAGTTCTTCAGGAAGAAGTACATGGGTGCTTGGAGCTGCGGGTCCAGGGTAAGGACAGTGAAAACGAGAAGGTTACTCATCAGGGCCACCAGGTACATCAGCAGGAAGAGCACAGCGCAGAGTGTCTGCATCTCGGGGTCCTCAGCAAACCCCAAGAGAAGGAAATGGGTCACCAAGGTGGTGTTGACCATACTACAGCCTCCTCACTGCCTCTTAATGTGAGGACCTATGAAGAAAGAGAAAA